TACTTTCGTCTCGAATACCGTTTTGTCCGGCTCTTCCGTTTTCCACTTAGGACGCAGCCGCTCTCGGTGCCGGGGTGCACTCGTGTGTAAGCACGTAGGCCTCTAGACTAACTCGTGCTGGCTTCTGGGGTCTGCAGTCCGAGGTGGTGTTCACCTGACTTGTTTATTCCTAGGGAATGTCACTAGTGCGTCTGGGTCTCAGATGGCAAGCGGCATCAGCCTGGGCTCCTTCAGCAGCCGGCCGGACAGCATGCAGCAACGCTCCTACTCTGTCTCCAGTGCCGACCAGTGGAGTGAGGCTACGGTCATTGCAAACTCGGCCATCAGCAGTGGTAAGAGAGGGCGCGGCCCCCTCGCGGTCCTCGGTCCCGAGCCGGGGGCTGGACGTGGCGCCCTGACCGCCCACGTGCTGAGTGCGGGCCCCGCGGGGCAGCTGCGGGAGCAGTGCGCGCGTCCCGTTCCATCCGTGGAGCGTGGGGTCCTTGACAGAGGTTGACAGAGGTGCCACCCACGTCGCCCCACGTGTTCCAGTTGGTCAGGGAGGAGCGGATCGCATCCCCGCCTGACAGCTTTGGGAAGCGGGGCTGCAGACAGGGCGCGTGGCCTCCCCACGGCCACGCACGGGAAGGCGGCGGGACCGGGAAATAACGCAGAATTTACGGCCTCGTCACACTTGGCCTGTGTGACCCCGTGTGCACTCTCACCACCGGTGCACAGTTTACGTCGTGGGGGCTTGGGGGGGGGGCGTGTCTGTCTCCTGTTCTCGTCAAAGGAAAACACGCAATTCGTGCTCCTTACGACTTTCCCCCAATTCCTGATGCACCCTCTGAATTTTGGAGCGTTCCCCTCCCACCCTTTTTTGGGGACAGCGGGGGAGGGGAACGTAAGCGTGGACGTCGGAACCTGTCTCGACACGTGTGTGCAGACGTGCATTAGGTGCTGGCTTTGCTGCCACACGCTTTGCCCGTGGCGTTTTGTCGACGGCCCGTTCACCGGTGTTTAACGGAAATCCCCACTGTTGGATGTTATCTATCAGACAGGGCTTTAAAGTAATTTTAGCACGATTTGTGCTAATTAAAAGATTCAGCATCGGGTCTTCCCCGTAGACCCAACAGCTGCTGCGGCAGGACGTTGCCGTGGGTAAACCTAATCCTGGCTTCCAGTTGCCCGGCTTCGTCTGGCATCGCACCATGCCAAGCGACCGCTGCAAACGAGGGTGTCTCAGCCTGGGCACGGAGGAGAGACTGAGTCTGTGGGGGGCTGCTGGAAAAGCCTGCGGCTTGCGGGCCCAGGTGGAGCGTTGCCCCCATGCCCAGCACGCGCCCGCCCCCAGGGCCCCTTCCTCATTCGAAGGACGATGCCCTGGCAGGTGCGTGTGCCTGCTTCCTCGTCTCCAGGGACTCTTCCGGGCGTCCTGCCTCTTGTCTGACCGCAGCCAGGGGGGGGTCCTCGAGTCCCTGAAAACTAACCACCTACGGTCTCGTCCCTTGGAACGTGCCATCCGCGCACTTACAGCTGCCGCCTGCCTGGGCCTTCTCATCGTACAGCCCGTGCTTCGGTCAGAGCACCCCTCCCCCCGCCCCACCGCCAGGCAGCCCTCCCCCCGGGAGCGTCTGTCTGACCCGGTGAGCGGGCGTGCTTCCCCCGCCCCTTGTCATCCTTGGGCTTGGAGCACAGGTGTGGCCCGTGGCCTCTGTGACTAAACGCCTGCTCTTGTTCTCACAGTGACTTTCCTTTCCGGGAGGAGCTAGCAGTTCACATAATCACCGCATTCTCCAATATTCGGGATCCGTCCGGTGGCTTTTCAGTCAGTATTAACCAGCCAGTTGGGTTTATTCTGTGGCCGCCTTTGTGCGGAGGTGTTTCCAGAGCCCAGTGTGCACGGCACCTTGTCGGGCAGCGACCTTCTAGAGCTTTCCTCCTCTGAGCGCGTTGTGGGCTCTACCAGCACAGCCTGCACAGAGTGACGGGGTTTAAGTTCTGCTCCTTATGCGCAGCGGGAGTTCTGTCTGGGGGAAGGCAGCAAAATAAAAGAGCTAGGTTCCTGAGAGAGACCATCGCCCCCAGCTTTGCCTCCCCCTACGCAGAATGTCTTCTAGGAAGGGCATGGGAAGCAGCATGTTCGTCTAAATCCGTTCTCCGCAAGCTGTCTTCCGCACAGTTCTGCCTCTGGTGGTCGCCACGGCTCTCTGCGTCTGGCTGGGCGCGCGCACGCGGGGCGCTCCGCCGCCCCGAAGCACGGCACTCCGTGATGTCCAGACCCTCGGTTTGGCTGGAAGTGTCGTCCCGCAGGAGATGATCGCGTCGGTCTGCACACACACATTTGTAAAGTCCCTGTAAGAGCCTGAGATCACCTACGTTCGCGCGCTGCTCTTACCCCCACAGAGCGGTCTCTCCTGTGTTCACGCCCTCGAGAGTCCGTTTTTCCTCCACGCGGCATGCCTGTTAGCGACTGGCTAGGCTCCCTGACGCCACGGGGCCTGGACCCTGAGCACGGGCGATGGGGCGCTCGAGTCCGCCCCCACATCCGTCGTGCCGGGGGATCCGCAGGGAGCGCTCGGGAGGAAGCCCGGGGCTGGAATGGTGCAGGTCGTTTTAAGGGTTATTGGAGTCCGTCAAGGAAAACTCCTCAATGAGAATGAGACTCGAGCAACGCTTAAAGGACCAGGGGCATTTTTGTACGTGTGCGGCCACACGGCACGAGGAAGTTATTCTGAGCATCGAGGAAGTTTGGACAAAGGCTCAGAGAGGAGGAGAAACGAAACAGGCCGGGGGCGGCCGTGACATGGGGTCGGCGGGCACGCGCGCGCGCGGCCAGCTGGGTGCAGACAGGACGAGAAGACCATGGGGAGGTCAGAATGGCAAAATCAGTTAGCGTCTCAATTTTAAGGCTTAGAGCTGGCGTCACTTTAAATAGCAAAGATCCGGAAAGACGGCAGAGCGCTGCCGGGGAGTAAGATTCCTGCCGTTTTACACGATCCCTCCTTATTTCCTGCATCTCCTAGGGGCTGGTGGCACGTCACAACCAAGATCCGGTTGAAAAGGGGAACAGCAGCAGTGATAATAATAATAATGGGAGCTACTATTTATTGAGGGCTTCACGTGGATTATCTCATTCGATCCTCGGGGAGCAGATGCCTTTGATGGGTGGGGAAACTCTGGTCCGGATACGTACCGCCTGTCGAACGTCACACCCCGGCAGGGGCCGGGATGAAAACCTGGGTGGCCTGATTCCAGGTCTGAGCTCCACGCCGGTGCTTCTCCAGATGGGCTTTCCGGGCCAGCAGCAGCAGCAGCCCCCCGGGGACTGGTTAGAAGTGCAAATTCCTCGTCTCATTGTGGACCCACTGGGCTAGGTCCCGGCACCCCGTGTGCTAACAAGCCCCCCAATGATGTTGTGTGCCGAAGTTTGAGAACCACCGCTCTGGCTAGAAATGCAGCCACCCAGACTCCACCGAGATTTGCTGGGTGGCGGGTGGGAGCCGCGTGTTCCCGGGACCCCCGGGGTGCTCGGGTACACGCAGGAGAACCCCCGCCCACCTCCAGCGAGGCTAGCATCACGACTTCCTGCTGGTGAACACCATCCCTGCCTTCCATGATCTATCAAGTGGCCAGACCCAGAGAAGTTTTTAATGAACACGAGGGCACGGGCTCTGACAGGCGACTTCAAGGAAACGCGTTTATGAATGGATTTCCAGACCTCAGCCTGGGCATCAGCATTCTGTGCTGTGTTGGAAAATAATCACAAAAGAAACAAACATGATTAAGAGCTCTGTCTCGTGCTTTTTCTGAGTTACAGTTAATACAAATCCCACCCTCTTTTTTTTTTTTTTCTTTTTTTTAAATTTTTTAAAATCCTTTTATTTTTTTCCCCTCAAGTCTCTGGTGTGGGTGTCAGAATCGTGAAAGCTTACGCTGTCCTAGCAGCAGGCACAGGGAGAAGGTAAGCGGCTTTGGAATCCAGATGCCCCTGAATTGGTGAACCCGCCTTCCCATTGTCATCCACTCTTATTATCAAATATGAGAACAACAACATTGGGAGTCCATTTCTCTCTGCCCCCTCGTCCGCACTAAATTAAGACTTTGGCTCCAGAGAAGTTTTCAAAGGCTGACCCTCTGCACCCATAGGTACCCCGGGGGGGGTTTCTCTCTTTTAAGCAGCTGTGAGCAACTCCTAATTAGATAGATTACTACGTAGTGTGCAAAACCACAAAACAGGAGGCTCCGGTGAAATTAAAGGTGGGTGGGGGGGGAGAGAGAAGAAGAATCCATTCTGTGAAATGGAATGCCCCACTGCTTTATGACTATTACTGTTGTAAGGTTTTACATTAAGTACCTGAGGTTTAAAATTAAACGTCTAATATAATTTGGCGTCGCTAACATGAGACCCGCATCTGCCCTTAGAGGAAATCCAGACAGCTCAGTTCAGGGTTTCAAATTGCTGTCGGCTGGCTTGCGAGCGGCGCAGAGGATTGGGTCCCTCTCCGGCGGTACGCCACATGCTGCTCGGCGTAATTTTTTAAATGCAGAAGCGTATTCATCTTGAGCCCCTGCATTGGAAAAGGCTGTTCCAGTAGTACATGAAAAATTAATTTTTTTACATTTTTCCTCACTCTCCTAAGTGTTTGACAGAAGTAATTTTTGCAGCAAGAGAGAATAAAAACTGGTGGCTGTAAATTCCTGTCCTGGAACCTGTTGTGTAGAGATTCTTTATGGACCCAGAATTGATCTACACGTCAGACCCTGTTGTGGTTTAAACTGTTTATCACCGTAATGGCAGCGGTGAGCCTGTGAACACCAACTTATAATCCTGGGTGAAAGAAATGGTTGTTTGCAGTCAATGAAGGGGCAGCTCAGCCATATTGATAGATTCAGAACAATTATCTCAGCAACAGCTATTGGCCGAGAGTTTTCTTGGATCCGATTGGGAGCCTGTAATTTTCGGGGGGATTAATCATGTTCCCTATAGGTAATTTTCTCTAAAGCGTTAGCCAAGAGTTCGCATTCCTGTGGGTAGCGGTGGGGGGCGGAGGGGGGGGGACCCCAGGGGGTCGTTTGTAGATACTTGGCTGTCATATCCTGCTGCGGGGCAAAATGTACTTTCAGATGAATCACACCTTTGCGGAGGGTGCAGGCCGGGTAGGCCTGCCACACCGTCTCTGCCAGTGCCAGCCTTGGGCCAGGGGCCGTGACTTGCTGTTGCCATGGCCACGCGCAACCCTCTCCCCATCCCCCCAACGCCCCTTGACTGTCAGGTTGTTCAGATGGCTCCACCCCGTCCCCCGATTGCTCTATTCCAACAGTTCATCTTTGCTGCTCTGGCTGGCCATCC